CAGAAGGGATGGCTGGAGCTGGGCCTGAGGACAGATTCCTCAGGTGCGAGAGAAGGGAGGAGGCCTCTTGACAGAGACAGTGGAGGCTGTTGTTGAGAGAAGAAGTGCCAGCATGCTGCCCTGGAAGGTATGTGGCTGAGGCCCAAGAGCCTGGAGCTGGCATGGGCTGCAGGTGCTGGTGAAACACCAGCTCCATGAATGGATAGGTGAGTAGTGCTAGAAAGGAACAAACCACACAGCTAGGATCAAAACAGGACTCAGGAATGCAGTGCAGGCTGGGGAGCAAGTCCTGAGTGAATACACATAATTATTCCATGTGAAATTCAAAAAGGAAGTGAACAAATGGTTTATGAACACTGACATACAGTTAAGTAGTTCTTTTAAAAAGCAAATGGAGGGGGCCCGGCATGATGGCCTAGCGGCTAAAGGCCTCACCTTGAACGTGCTGGGATCCTATATGGGCACCGGTTCTAATCCCGGCAGCTCCACTTCCCATCCAGCTCCCTGCTTGTGGCCTGGGAAAGCAGTGGAGCACAGCCAAAAGCCTTGGGACCCTGCACCCACGTGGGAGACCTGGAGGAAGTTCCTGGCTCCAAGCTCCTGGCTTCCAATCGGCGCAGCACCAGCTGTTGTGGTCACTTGGGGAGTGAATCATCGGACGGAAGATCTTTCTGTCTCTCTGTATATCTGACTTTGCAATTAAAAAAAAAAAAAAAAAGCAGCACAGAAATGGAGAAAGTACTGTTCTGTTTTCTCCAGGAGCTCAGGGAGGAGGGATGTAATGAGGGACCTTGAGACATTAAAGATAAATTTATTTTTGTGCAAGTTTTGAAACCTGCGTATCTTTCATGTGTCTTTCTCGTGAACATTTTGAAGACCCTGCCTATGGGGGCAGGGCCAGCAGAACGTCAAAGGTCCTGGCAATGTTCTATTTCTTAACTGGGAGATGAGCTCAAGCTACTTACTCTTGCAGCCTTACCTTTGTCATTAATACCCAGGATTTTGTACAGATAGCCTTTAAAAATTAAAAGGCAGGTGACGTGGAGCCAAGCAGTGAAGAGCCCGAGCAGCTGGTTGCACAGCTTGGGTTTCACCTGTGCTCTGGAGCGGAGCTGCAGTTAGGTGAGGCGCCCCTCAACCACCCCCCACTCCCCACCACACACACACGCACACACGCACGCACGCACGCACGCACGCGCGACCAGGAGAAAGCCCAGAGGCAACGGCCTTTCCTCACCCGCCTATCCTTTGCAAGGAATGCCTGCATTGTAAGCTTAGTGTTTACCTTGTCTTAGCATAGCCCAGAGTGGAATGGGTGTTGCCCCCTTGTATTGGTGAGGAAATTAAGATTCAAAAGATCTACCAAATAGGAATACCAAGGCCAGAACCCAGGTCACTCTATCTCATATATGCTGCTTCATGCATGTGTAAATGTTTATATCAATGTTTAGAGTCCCTAGCCTCTTTTGAATGATGACAGCCTCTCATTTTCTAGAATGCTACGCAGCAGCGCAGCAATTTTCTGGGAGAGAGAAGTTTGTAGAGGGCTCTGATCTCAGCTGCATACCTACTCCATGGTTTTTCCCTCTTCTGACTTTGTGTCTAGTGCCTTCTGCTGGGGATGTGGAGAGAGCCCGAGCGCTGAAGGAAGAAGGCAATGAGCTTGTCAAGAAGGGCAACCATAAGAAAGCTTTGGAGAAGTACAGTGAGAGCCTCTCGTTTAGTAACCTGGAGTCAGCCACATACAGCAACAGGTATCTCGGGCACAGCTGCTGGTCTGGGGCGTTTCAGACACTCCAAGTTGTGTTCCGGTCTGCTCTTCGGCTGGCGTGAACTCTTTATTCTATGCGTCGGCTGGGCGTGCTGCAGCTCAAGACATGCATTCACCTTCTGGTCACTGTGACTTGGCCTTGCAGTGGTGTGAGCCTCAGCACTGCCAGTGTTTTCATTCTCCCAGAGGGAGAAACATCCCCCAGATTGTCACTAATCACCCCAAGAAAGCATACACTATAGATAAAAGCACTAGGCGTGCTAAGCAAACACAACCTTAACACAGACGTCTTAGTGCCTGCCCATGCCCCCCACCCTATGGCTTCACCAAGATTCTCCTGTGAGGAATTGTGGCACTGAGAGACCCTTCCAGAGCCCAGGGTGTGGAGTACCTATAGCCTGGCCTGGTGCCCAGGCTAGCCTGAGGGTTAGGAGTCTTGGCCTAGAGGAGGTCATATACCACCCAGCCAGCGCTGACATCAGGCTCCAGTGAGATCTGTTAGCTTTACTGTCAGAAAATTTAGTCTGCAAGAAACTGTCTGACCCATACATTATAAACTGCTTCATAGGCCTGTTTTTCCTTCCCAAACCACCACAAACATATCACTCTGGAGTTTAGAAATATTGGATCTAGGGCCCAATGCGATGACTCAGTGATTAAGTCCTTACTTTGTGTGCACCAGGATCTCATAAAGGCATCATTTGTGTCCCTGCTGCATTACCTCCTATTAAGCTCCCTGCTTGTGGCCTGGGAAATCAGTAGAGGATGACCCAAAGCCTTGGGACCCTGTACCCGTATGGGATACCTGCAAGAAGCATCTGGCTCCTGGCTTTGGATTGGCTCAGCTCCAGCCAATCCCTTGAGAGCTCCCATTTGGGGAGTGAACCCAAATGGGTTCTGTCTTTCCTCTGCAAATCTGCCTTTCCAATAAAAATAAGTGTTTAAAAAAGAAAAGGCTAGGATTGGTGTATTGAAGAGTAACAACCAGCACACAATAGGGACGTGGTGAATTGTAATTGGAGATCTCTTGTCAGACTCCCAGCTATCTAACAGATGGCTCTTAGAAATGACTGACTCCTCTTGCAATGGTCTGTCCCATCAGAGCGCTCTGCCATCTGGTCCTGAAGCAGTACAAGGAGGCCGTGAAGGATTGCACAGAAGCCCTCAAGCTGGACGGGAAGAACGTGAAGGCGTTTTACAGACGGGCTCAAGCCTATAAGGCTCTCAAGGTACAATGATCCTAGTCTGAAGGTCCTAGTGTGGCCCCAGAGATCCATGCCAGTGGCGGCACTTCAGTAGAGATGGGGTGCTCAGCGACATCCCTGTTCGTCCCGGGAACAAGCTTGGGCAGGACAGGCTGGGATTTACAAATGTGGTGCTGCCTCAATTGCCGTCTCTGCTTGATCCCATCCCATCCCATCCCGAGTCTGTCCCAAACACACTGCTTCTCTTTCCTATTAGGACTATAAATCCAGCTTTGCAGACATCAGCAGCCTCCTACAAATTGAGCCCAGGAATGGCCCTGCACAGAAGTTACGGCAGGAAATTAACCAGAACCTGCATTGAAGTCCCAAAAGGCAACAGGAAACTTCCTGACCTGCACAGAAACCAGGAGCTGCCTCCTATGCACCCACTCCTGAAACCCAGCATGCCCAGAGCCAGGCCTAAAGCCCCCTTCTTGGCCCCTCAGAGACAGCAACCTCTTACCCCTTAAGAGCCTTTGCTTGTTCAAATTAAGCCAGGATTAGTCAAATCCAGACATTGTTTTGCCAGAAAGGTCCCCTTGAGAGCTGACGCATGAAGCAGAAGCTCTGCCACCATCAGCTGTGATTTCTGAAATGCTAACATCACAGACAGGTCCTCCTCAGCAGTGCACATGGCTTTGTCCCTGCTGCAAGCATGTTCCAGATTCCTGTAACTTCCCCAGAGCCCCTGTCACCACAGTTCTACTGAACAAACTGAGCAGGGATGGGGGGAGATCTGAAGAACCCTAGGCCCACCTTCCCCCTGGCAGTCTGTTGAGCTGGTTCTCCAGGGCTGCAGCCTCCCTGCGGTGCAGCTGCTGTCCCCTCCCTGTCCGTGGCGCAGTCCCGTGTGTCTGAGCCCCAGTGCCTTTTGTCCAGGCCCTCCTATGCCGGGAAGGCAGGGTCCGGCCTTTGATGGCTCCATGCTGGACTCTGCTGCCTTCTGCATGGAACGACCTAAGCTGTGGCGTGAGCCCAGTGATTGTGGCTGCTCCTCCTGGAGGTGGGATGGGGAAGAGAAGCTGCCTCATGGTCAGTGTCCTTCCATTCTGGGCAGACTTGCCTTTCCCCAGCAGCAACCCCCTCCAGGCTGCTTCTTTGTGATCCGTTGAAGTTAATTGACCTGGGTTTTGTTGAAGTGTGTGTTTAGCTATTGTATTAAAGGCTTTCTTCTACGTAACAGTGGCTGCTGTGCTTCATCTAGGCCCTTACTGCTGCATCTGGAACTTTACAGTAATAATAATAAAAGCTGCTTCCTGGACCAATTTACTGGAATACCTGCATGGGTTTGGCATGTGTGTAGGGCTCAGATAACAAAGTGAATGACTATAGTCCCTGCTCTGAGGAGTGGGACGGCAAGAAACGCATAAGAATCACACAAGCTGCAGAGGCAGGTGGCTGGAGTATCAGGAGTTGGCTTCCAGTGTCCTTCCTGTCCACCTGCAGTCAGGTCTACCCTTTGCTGTGCCCCCACCTCAAAGACAAGACAGATTTTTGCAGCACTTTTAATGAACAAAGAAATGGCTGGCAGGGTCCCCAGCCCTCATTCCACAGTCAGCGCTTGGGCATGGCAACACACCCATTGGGAAATAAGTTAGAGGTTACAGGGCCTTGGAGCTGAGAGCAGAAACCACCGTTCTCTCGGCAGCCCTGGGAATGAAGACTCCATTTCCTAGGAATGAAAAGAAAAAGAAGAATGTGTTGACAAAGTATCATGGACCACTGGTTTTCTCCCTAGAAGGCAGGCCTTGTGCCCAGGCCTTGAGGCAGACAGTACCCAAGGAGAGCCCAGGCAGGCAGCTGGCAAGAAAGCTCCTTGTTCATCCTACACTCGGCCATCCACATAGCTGATCCTCTCCCAGGCCCCATACCTTCCTCCAAACTCCTCCTCCTGTGCCTCAGAGAAAGCTAGGGGCACAGTTCAGCTTCCGGATCTGGGGAGCCATTCCCCAGCTCAGCTGTGTTGCCCTTCCACCCACCTGGCTTCAGTGCGCGTACGCCTTGGGCTGCTCCACAGCCTGGTGGGCCTGCAGCACTGCCACCGCCTCTTCTATCTGTGGGGCACAAGGGGAGGGGCTTGGCGCAGCTGCCTCAGCATACTAGATGTAAGAATTTTCCTCCCAGGCCTGCTGTCATCTCAGAGCAGAACTGCACTGCTAAGCAGCTGCAAAGCCTTCACTCAGACTCTGAGTCAGAGCAACTTAACCTGGGAGCTACCCAGCCCCAGCCCCTGTAGTCTGTGCAGGGGCTGTGGCAGCCAACCCTTAAAGCCCTCTCCCACTCCAAACATTGGCAAGAACATAAACTCTGCATGCCGAGAGCAGCTGCCTAGCAGCTCCTCCAGCAGAGCCCTTGTCATCAGCACTCAGGTGCCGCCTACCTTGGCATGGAGGGACTCTGGAGACTCCAGCATGAGCAGCAGCTCCGAGTTGTCAATCTCCAGCAGCATGCCCGTGATCTTGCCAGCCAGCTGTGCGTGGACGTTGTAAACAAGAGGGTAGAGACGCTCCCCTGTGTGGAACAAGCCCTGGTGGCTTCCACAGAAAGGCACCTAGCTCCTAATGCCATTATCCCAGAGGCAGCATCATGGAGTGGGGCAGCGAGGACTTGCTCCTCAACTGCTCCCCCCAGGTTGTGTCCCCTACCTTACGGGCTCGGAGCTTCTTTCCCCAACAGCAAAGTGGGCCTGGCAAACTCTGCCTTAAAGGACAGCTTGCAGAGTCAGATCTGTTACTACATGCAGGGTCATCTTGGGACACAAGGTCATGTTGTGCACCATTTGAAGAAGAGTAGGAGTTATAGCAATGGAAGCCCTGGATAGGACATGTGAATGCCCAGTGTCAGACTGTGCGGGGAGAGATAAATTCAGCTGCAGGTAGTTCTAATGAGTGCCTGTGCCTTGCTTGATTGGCCTCGACAGTGTGTGGAGGCTCCAGCCAGGATGGGATGCCTGAAGTTGGGCAGAGAAGGAGGTCTTGTGGAAAGTGGCAGTGTTTACTGCTAACAAAACCCTACTGCCTCCAGTGAGTACATCTGAAATGTGTCTGTGTGGGACAAACCCTAAGTAAGCCAACAAGGTGACAACAGAAATGGCCAGTGAAGGGTCTGGAGATCTTGGAAGAATCAGCCAGCCAGGAATGGGTTTGCTCATTCATTCAGTAGGTAACAGCTCTGCTTAGCAGGGCCTGCCCCTGGACAGTGGGGATGGGGAGCAACTAACAAGGATTTCAGGCTCTGTGGGAAAGCCCAGGGATTTGCCCAACTGACGTCGTTTCCCACCTCCCTGCAACAAACACAGGGTGGCCAAGGACACTGGGCAACAGCTTCCTCTGCCGAGGAGAGGTGTGAGAGAAACACAACACCACCTGTTCCGGCCCCATGGCCGTGTCCTAACTGCTGCCCTGGCCCCTGACTGCCCGCATCTGGAGTGTCTCCCAGTCCAGGTCACAGGCAAGCAGATCCGGTGGCAACCTCAGGACCACTTGGCATTTTAAGATGGAAGATGGGAGACTGGGAGAGCAGAAGTGACTCAGGCAAGGTCACCCAGTGAACTGGTGGGCAGCAGAGCTTCCATGGCCCTCTTGCCTGACCCACAAACAGTCCCTAGCCCTTCTCTTCTCCAGAGTCCCTGACATACTCACCGATCATCTGTTTTTGCTCTTGTGGGGGCGCCGCAGCCAGCATGGACGCAGTCAGAGGCTCCTGGCCAGGGATATATACAGCAGCCTCCTGCACAAGGGCCCAAAGACCCAGGCCTTAGCTCCTAGAGACAGCAGAGGCCCCACAGTACCCTGTCAGGTGGACAGCAGGCCTCTAGGAAGGCTCTGTGAGAGGGAAGCAGGAGTGGCCTGTTCTAGTCAATCAGGTGGGGCAGTCTTGAGAAAGGGTCCAGTGGACCAAGACACTGGCCTGCCCCTTGGCTGCACCACTGTGAACCTGAGTGGCTCCTGGCGAACTTGGCCAAACAAAAGGCACATGCTGGGCCCAGCGCTGTAGCCTAGCACTAAAGTACTCACCTTGAACACACCAGGATCCCATATGGGCACCAGTTCTAATCCCGGCAGCCCCACTTCCCATCCAGCTCCCTTTTGTGGCCTGGGAAAGCAATCCAGGATGGCCCAAAGCTTTGGGACCCTGCACTCATGTGGGAGACCCCGAAGAGGCTCCTAGCTCCTGGCTTTGGATTGGCTCAGCTCCAGCTGTTGCAACCTCTGGGGAGTGAATCAGTAGACGGAAGATCTTCCTGTCTCTCCTCCACTTTGTATATCTGACTTTCCAATAAAAAGAAATTTTTTTTTTAAGCTACATGCTACTCTTCCTTCATGGTTTTGTGGCCCCAATGATGCAGCCCACCTCTGCACCTCTCCCATCTGGGTACCTTCCAAAAACCTTTTAAAAGATGACTTTCTTCATTTTTTAAGGAACAGATTGATCTAGACCCTCTGAAATTGTAGCCCGGTTACAGGACAATGTTGAAAATAAAGCCTTTTGGAGACCAGGGAAATAAACAGAACCTTTGCTTGAACTGTAGCAGATATGTTCAGTTTTGAAGACTAATCCCAGCCGTTTAACACTCAGCATGTTCCTAGAACACCTTTCCTGGCTGCTCAAATCTTGCGGAAATCCAAGATCATGTTGGCAATAACCCAGGAAAGTCAATCCTAATTAGCACACAGAAGGTGACCCTGGCCCCCTGGCCCCTTGGCCCCCTCCTCTAGCAGGCGTGAATTCTTCCAGGTTGCACAGCTTAATGGATGAAACTTCCCAAGCCAACAAGAGAGGACCCCGAGTCCCCGAGGCCAAGGTTCAGTGGACGGGCAAGTGAGCCTTACCACAGACTGGGAGTAGTGGACTCCTGAGGAACATCTGTAGGGCAGGAGAGACCGGCCTGGCGTGCAGCATCCTGTGCCACTGTGTCCTGTGGTCTGAGTCCCAACGTTGGCTGTAAAAGACGAGTAAGGTTTGGATGGCCCCTCTCAAAAACCAACCAGCTAGAAACAAAACCAAAACCAGAAAGAAGTGTTGGCTAGGATGTTAAAAAAAAAAAAAAAAAGACAAAGGAGGGTGGTGCTGTGGTACAACATGGCACTGTGGCACAGCATGCTAAGCCTGCTCCACCTATGACACCAGCAACCCACATGGGCACCGTTCGAGTCCTAGCTGCTCCACTTCTGATCCAGCTAATATGCCTTGGGAAAGCAGGGGAGGATGGCCAAAGTGATTTGGTCCCTGTGCCCACATGGCAGACCCAGAAGAAGTTTCTTGCTCTTGGTGGACCCAGCTCTGCTCTGGCCATTGTGGCCATCTCGGGAGCAAACTAGTGGACAGAAGATCTCTTAATTTAATAGACAGATACATGAATTGATTGATATAGATGATAAATATAAATAGGTGAATAAATAGACATTTTAAAAGAAAAGAAAGCAACAGTGGTGTCAGGGCCTGACAGGAACTCAAGGTCAGGGACTGAGCCGGGCCCATGCATGCAGACGTCCCAGGACCAAGCATGAGGCCAGTGCACGGTGACTTTGAGGAGATCTGCTGAGTGAAGGAGCTGGCCTTCCACTGTTCCCACCTGCTCCAGTATTACTAAGCAAGGTGCGGGTGCCTGCATGCATGCTCTTACTAACCCTTGTGCAACATAGGGCTGCTAGCTCTACCCCACTCTAAATACTAGGCAACAAGATACGGTCATTCCCAAGGACTACTGTCACTACTCTGCCACACACACAGCCTCCAGCAGCAGCCTGCAGGACCAAAAGGCTGGGCAGCAAGATCGCCATGGAAGCCAGTCCCAACTCAGCCTAGGGACAAGCACAGCACCCTGCCTTTGAGCCATGATCCTTACACCCCCGCTCCTCAGGGCCCTGCCTACACTCACCCACTCGTTGGGTCTGAGGCACATGCCGTGGCAGCTGGGTGGAGGGCTGCCTGACACTGTTGACATGGTCCCGGGGGCGCCGCGACATGCCCGGTGCCTGGACAGTGGAAGCAGCTGAAGGGCAGGTGACTTGTGACACAGAGAAGATGAAAAGAGAAAGGTTGAGGGGCATAGCTATTCAGAGTGACACAGAGGACCCTAAAGGCTCCAGGGCCAGCAAGGGACCAGGAAGGACACCAGCGGGGGTGCAGCCAGGAGGAGTGTGGATTCACCCAGGACCCTATGGAGGTGTGGAAATCCACCATGACAAAGCCCACTGGTGTCAACCCAGAGCCCCACTGTCAGACACTGCCATGAACAAGGCCTTGACCCTTATCAAAAAGGGGCATTCAGCAGCGTTTCCTCAGCTCTACAGATAACTGGCAGCTGCCACACAGCACAACTTCCACGGGCTTGCCACTGTGTTAGGGGCTTACCACACATCTCACTCGGGCCCCAGGAAGTGACAAGACCCACCCTGGGAAGTGGGTCCCAGCTGAGCCTCTCCCCCACCTGTTCCAGGACCCACACCCACAGGCAGAGGAAGCTGGTCACTCACATGAAGGTCGCGGTGGCTGGGCTGTCCACCTGGGAGTGGGCTGCATGGGGGCCATGGTGCCAGAGCCAGCATATGTAGCCTGTGCAGGAGGCTGAGGGGCGAGAACAGGACCAAGATGAAGAGCCGAGCTGTCACCTCCCGGAGACAGGCCAGGAGAGACCTCCACAGTTGGGATGAAGCAGGCTTCCTCCCATCTCTGGCCCGGCCAGCAGCCCTGAACGTTTCATGGGCAAGCTCTCAAATGGTGGTCCTCCTCTTTAGCGAGCTAGCCCAGACATCTGGTGCAATGGTGACCCTCTTGCTCCTACTCACGCCAGCCTTGTCAACTGCTCAAAGGAGAGGGCCAGTTCCCCACCTGGTCACCTGTGATGGCTCAGATCTCAAGGTTCTTACATAAACCACACTGCCGAGAACATCAGAGTCCCCACTAACACTGCTGATGGCTTCCTACCAAAAGGCTCACCATTCTTGCTAGGGGAATGCCCAACTCTCTGGGCCCGTTTTGGAGAATTTCAACAGCTGTGGCATTTGTACAACAGGCTTCCTTTGTTCACACCGAATTGACCACAGAGTTCTTGTCAGCACATTCACAAATCCAGGAAATGCTTACAACCCCCTTCTACAGATGGGCACACTAAGGCCCAAGAGCAGAGCCTCTGTTTGCCTGGGAAGTTCTAGTCTTCCTGCCCTACCTGACCATCAGGGAAGGGGCACAGCCAGAGCCACAGGCAGCTCATCACCTGCGGCACAGCGGGCAGGAAGTAGCGGGAGGGCTGCTGCAAAGAGCCCAGGAGGGGGCTCCCCAGGGCTCGCAGGCTGGAGAGGCGCTGCATGTACTGGTTCGTTAGGATGGCTTTCCGCTCCTCTTTGCGCTGGGCCAGCGCCACGTACAGCGGCTTGGTGCCCACGATGCGCCCATTCATCTCGGTCACAGCCTTGGTCGCCTCCTCTGGAGAGGAAAAACACACAAAGCCAAACCCCTTGCTGTGGTCACCCTCTGTCATCACCTAAAAGCAAGACAAGACAAGGATTGCTGGGGGCGGGGAAGGAAGGATCCCGGGCTGCGCCTCCCGCCTCCCTGAGGCCCAGGGCCCACGACCCCAGCAGGCTCCGCCACCCTGAGACCCCCACGTCCACAGGCTGCATCATGGACCCCACCTTCACTGAGGCCTACTGCATGCCAGATTCTCTGTAGTTGCACAGGGTGGGGAGAAGGGAGACAAGAGGCCGCAGCTTGCCAGGGTCCTCCAGCCAGTGGCCCACACTCAGCCAGGACCGCGCCCCACACACCATCACCTCATCTTCCATGGCTGTGTAAGGCAAGGCACTGACCCACATTAAGTTGGGGAAGAGACATTCTTTTAGCCTTTTTCTTAAAATAATATTACTTTGGACTAACTTCAGATTCGAAGAAGTACCACAAGGTCATCACAGCCTCCTGGTCCCTGTGGTTTACAGCGCTATTAACTAGACCCTGAGCTTCTTTCCGTTAATATTCTTCTTGTCTTCTAGGATCAGATCCACACTTGCATGAAATGTTCTAGACTTTGTTTAGGGCCGAGACCTTGGCCTGGCTCGCACCTCTCAAGGGTTAGAGCTGGCTGCAAAGCCCTATGAGCACGTGCTCGGATTCAGGAACACTGACAGCCATCCAGGTGTCTGATCCAGAGAGCCTCCATGGGGGCCAGAGGGTCAAATTCAGGGAACCTGTGAACTGGGGTGGGAAAAACAACATCTTTATTCACTGCTAGCGTGTCCTCTATCTTGAATGTGGGAAAGCATATATATCACAGCAATGTTGTGTTTGTGACTTTCTGGTGCAGAGAAATCAAATATATATTTTTTTAAGTTTTATTCTATCTTTATTGCAAAGGCAGATATACAGAGAGGAGGAGAGACAGAGAGGAAGATCTTCCGTCCGATGATTCATTCCCCAAGTGACCGCTATGTCTGGTGCTGCACCAATCTGAAACCAGGAGCCAGGAGCCTCCTCCAGGTCTCCCACGTGGGTGCAGGGTCCCAAAGCTTTGAGCCATCCTCAACTGCTCTCCCAGGCCACAAGCAGAGAACTGTATGGGAAGTGGGGCCGCTGGGATTAGAATTGGCTCCCATGTGGGATCTTGGCATGTTCAAGGCGAGGACTTTAGCCATTAGGCCACCACGCCAGACCTGAAATAAAATATTTTCATGTCACAGAAATTACTACTCATCTCAAATTATTACTAATTGCTACTTTGGTAGATCTTATAGTTTGATGTTTCATTAAAAACAAATGTATGGGGGCTGGTATTGTGGCAACACGGGTTAAGCTGCTGTCTACACTACTGGCATCCCACATGGGCTCCAATTTGAGTCCCAGCTGTTCCACTTCCAGTCCAGCTCCCTGTTAATGCACCTGGGAAAAGCAGCAGAAGATGGTCCAAGTGTTGGGGTCCCTGAACCTGCAGTGGGAGACTGCGTTGAAGCTTCAATGTGGCCCAGCTCCAGCAACTGTGATCATTTACAGAGTGAGCCAGAGGACGGAACATCTTTCTTTCTGCCCATCACTCTCTTAAATTCTGCCTGGCTGAAGCCATTCCTCCCTCTAAAAAAAAAAAAAAATCTACTGCCAAATAAGTAAGTCTTTAAAAAAATGCAGTCTGCTGTCACTTTCCTATTGTGATCATCAGATTTCAATGCAATTGGTTTTGTATACGCCTGTGAATTTTATTTTATGTATTGAAAAATATTATTAGGGCCCAGCGCAGTAGCCTAGTGGCTAGAGTCCTCAACTTACATGAGCCAGGAACATGCTGGGATCCTATATGGGCACCAGTTCTAGTCCCAGTGGTCCCACTTCCCATCCAGCTCCCTGTTTGTGGCCTGGGAAGGCAGCAGAGGACAGCCCAAAGCCTTAGGATCCTGCACCCACATGGGAGACCTGGAATAGCTCCTGGCTCCTGGCTTTGCATTGGCTCAGCACTGGCTGTAGCGGTCACTTGGGGAGTAAATCATCGTATGGAGGATCTTTTTCTGTCTCTCCTCCTCTCTGTATATCTGACTTCGCAATAAAAATAAACAAATATTTAAAAAAGGATACTAGGTAGTTATGAAGACAAGGGCAAATAGTGAAGCTGACATGGGAATTTACTGTAAATGTCATGATAATGTGCTGCTGAACCTTCATTCACTTCATGATCATTATATGAAATACAAGACAGTAGAGATACGCCAAAGTGACTGAAGCCTAATTTCAGAACGTTTTCATCCTACCAGGCTGCCCATCCTAGGTGTGTCTCCACTAGAAGCAAAGCAAACTTCTCATGCCCTGGCCAAGCGTCAGCATGTGAGCAGGGGTCCTGGCCCTCACTAGGGGGCTCCCCATGTGCAGATGCGCCCCATGCTGCCTCATTCATCTATTCTCAGGACACCTGGCATCACTGATGCTGTGCCCATCTAACAAATGCACCAAGGGTGAGGCCGCCACTAACCTGCCCCCTACAGTGAGGCACCAGGGTAGGTGTGGGACTGTATCTAGTCTCGTGGAGGTTAAGAAGTCAGTATTCACGCAGTGGTCCACACCAAGCATGCGTGGTTTGTGGGGCAGGAGAGCACCCATCGCTTCTCATCTCCAGTCAGGGGCAGTGATGCTTAATTTGCAGGTCCCACGACTACCTGTCATATTTTTCAAAAGATCCTGGACTCAAAAGCCCTTGGGGTCTTTCCCCCTGAACGCCAGACCCCCTGCAGGATGTTTCAAATAGGACTGGAACAGCAAAAGGGCTCTTCTAAACCATGTCTAAGACCCCAACCACCACATCCTACACACAGGGCCACCATCTGTCACCTATGCCCATCTCTTTGCAAAATTCCATGCTCGCACTTTCGGCTCCGCCACCTCAGAGCCATGATGGAGGAAGTGGTTGGCTGCTGCCACTTCAGTCAGGAAGCCCTCCCTCCAGGTTCCACGGGGCTCCTGAAGTTCCACCTCCAATACTGTCCTCCTGCTCTCTGCCTTTGTAATTCATTTGAACTAGTGATGTATCTGCCTTCCTCACTAGACTATAAGCTGCCAAAGGCAAGGGCCACCGCTCCTAATGTTCCCACAGAACCGAATAAACTAGTGAATGAACAAACGCTGGTCATCTTAATCACCGGAGAGCTCTTAAATAGAAAATGCCTGGGTTGCTCCCCAAGAGGTTCCGCTGGACTTTTCCCCACACAGGTTTCAGTATAGAAGAACTCCCCCAGGGAATGCAGTAAGATGCCACCATCAAGGACCATCAAGGACCATCAGGGACCATCCAGGAGCTCAGCATCCTCATCTTACAGGCCTTCATGACACTTGGCCACAGTAGTACTGAGTAGAAGGCCAGTGGTCATCTCTTGGGTTGGTGCTCAACACATGGGGAAGACTGGAGGGTGTGGCCCAACCCTGTCATTTTCTAGATGGGAAAACTGAGGCCTGGAAGGGGTTAAGTTCCTGATGAAGGCCAGGCAATCAGTCAAGAGAAATATCAAGACGTACGCATTTCTGGAATCTGGCATACAGTAGGCACTCAGTAAATGCTTCTTGACTGAACCAAGGTTAAAGCGAACCCCAGGAAGTCCAGAGGGATGACAGCAATGACATTGTGTATCTTCTTTCCCTCCATCCCAGCCTCCAACAGGGGCCCCTAAAGGCTATCTCAGTGCCAGTCAGCTGGAAGCCACTGGACAGGAGGTTAGTGGGGACACATGGTGAGGTAGTAGTATTGGTGAGTGGATGCGAAGGTGGGCCATCCCCCAGAGGTGCCCTTGGCCCTCACCTTTGCGCTGGTGATCACCCCATAGGGAGAGAACTCTTTCCTCAATTTCTCATCATCAATAGAGTCATCCAGGTTCTTCACATACAGGTTCACGCCCTGCAAGGAGCGGATATTGTAAAGGATGCCCCTTATCCTCTTCACCCCAGAGGACCTCGGGGTGGACAGGTTCCCAACAGGGACTCAAGCATCACTGGAAACCCTGCCAGCCCAGCCTCCTACTCTGCCCACATGCTCAGCCACTCTACACACATATGCACCTCTCAAAAGCAATAGCACCCACCATCCCAGAGTACCCCAGTGATTCACAGACACCTGAGTTGGTCCCAATCTCCCCGTGGCCTTTAGCAGGGTCCACAGAGGGGCACCCAGAGAGGGAGGCCCAAGTCCACGGCAGATGGAGGCGCAGGACTAAGCAAGAATCCACCCTGGAGGGGTGGCCTACAGAGCTACCACTGGCAGGTGGGCCTGTGGACCACACACCAGGCTGTAAGAGCAGCAGCTGCCTCACTGCCTGCCAGCTGCAGAGCCAATGGCTTACCCTTGCTTGGTGCCAGGTGCTCTCTGAGCTCTTTACACACTTTAATTTTTAATGCTTACCGCACGCCTATGAGAAGGAAACTTTCATCCCTAGTTGGCAACTGATACGACTGTAGTACAAACAGGTCAAGTAGCTTGCCCTGGATCACCCAGTCCTCATGTGCCAGGGACAAGACCAGCTCAGGTTGGCTGAGCTCAGCGTCTGTGCTTCCCAAACAAGCAAAGCAGCTCTTGAACCTTGGTTTTCTCCTCTCAGACCTCCAGAACGCACAGGAGTGGGTGTGTGCAGCAGACCTGAGGCTGCACAGTGGCAGTTTTATATCTACTTCTCCCAGGTGTCAAAGGGAGATTGTTGTCTCCGTGCATGACAGAGCCCAAGCACTTCCCAAACTCAGCTCCTGTGTCCCTTGGCACCAGGTCGTTCTCTGTGTGGTGGGGCGATTTTACTGCCTGGATATTGCAGGATATCCGCCAGCAGTCTTGATATCCAACTGCTGATGCCAGGAACACTCCACCCCTGACATGTGGCAACCAAAAAGCCCACACACGGCCTAGTGTCCCCTTGGCGGGGCAAGATCACCAGCTACAGAGAACCCGAGGACACGCATGGGCGTGCACATATATACACATATAGCATACGGCACACACACCTAACCACAAGGGGTCTAGAATGCAAACATTTTAGATGAGGCTCACATTCACAAAGATTAAGTGGCATCGATCTAGCTAATTAAGATTATTAACTCGATTTCAATGGCTATACCCCCATTCCCATTTGGGGATGTGACATCTGTGACCCAATTAAGCTCAACCCACAGCAGGGTCTCCTCTAGGGGCATTCAGAAATGCTTAGGGCATGTGTACATCCAGGATTAGCTGATGCAGGTGGTATTAAGTGGGCAGGGACAAGGGATGCCAACTGGTCCAACACAAAGGATTAGTCCAACCACAAGGTTGGCAGCACTGAACCAACCAACTCACCAACCCCCTCATGGTTGGAGAGTTGTGAGTTGGGTCGCATCCAGTTTTGCCATGGGGATGTAGGCCAGGCAGCATCCAACTGCTGTTGGAAACCAGCACAGGGGTGTCGAGTGGGACTGCCTGCTGCTCCTGGAGGCCCCACATCACCTGGTAACGGTGCAGCCGGTCCTGCTTCATCTGCTGGAACTTGTGCTTCAGTTCATTCTGCCGCTCCACCCGCTTCTGGGCACGGCCCACGTACAGCAGCCGGCCGTTCACCTCCTTTCCATTCATGTGGTCCACGGCCTGGGAGACAGTAGTGGGAGGTCATCCTGGCTGCCCCACCTCTGGGACTGGCAGAGGCCACACCTGTGCCTCAGGCCTCCTCTGTAAGCCGGGAGTCATTAACACCAGGATAAAGGCTGCTGACAGTGTCTGTAAAAAACTACTGGACAAAAACTTCAGAATAGATCTCAAACAGGAAAGCAAATGGGAACTCCATTTAGAAAAAAAAAAATTGAAAATCACCTTAAACATTCCCACATTTGAAATGCATAGGTGAAACAGTCAGCCAGAGAAACTGCATGCTTGAGGCTTCTGCTGTGACACCCTGAGAGGATGCAGCTAGAGCACCCGAGGTCGCCAAGGGGCTCAGGACACAGAGGATGATCCTCAGCCCATTGAGGATTTGTAGGGCAGTGGAAACACTCTACTCTGGGGGATAGGAAGAGTGGCTGCCTTTGTCCCCACTTAGAAGATCTATGACACCAGGCGTGAACACAGTGGAGCCCACAGACTGGGTGACAAGGATCTGTCCCTGGGGGTTCATCCATTGGCACAAACATCCCATTCCCAGGAGAGGGATGACAATGGGGGAGGTTGGGCATGGGACGAGGAAGATGAAGAAATCTCTGAGCCTCATGCAGGTGTGAGCTCAAGGCTGCTATGCCAAGATGACTATTAAATAGTCTATTAAAACATGAAATGTCTTGGGTTGTCATTCGAAGCCCACGAGTAATGTGAACACAGCAAGCCGAACACAGAACCAATATTCTATGCCTCCTGTCGGATTTCCCAAACAGAAGGCTCCTTGCTGGCAATAGGGTGGGTTTTGTTCTTGAAGAACACTAGTGTTGTAACTAACCTAGGCCTGCTAGGTCCCAGTTCAATGGCATGGAGCCCTGCCTTGTGGGTAGCTTCTCTTTGACTTCTTTCTACACAGGATTTTCATGGACTGACTCATTGAATGTAGAGCCATGGGCACACCAACTTGGTGTCCATGGTCAGACTCTGGTGTTGGCGAGAAGCATGCAGCCACTGAACTATAGGTCTGCACAGGGGTTATCCATCCCTGTGGGTCCAAGTTGGGGACCCCCACTGTGAGCAGCTAGAGCCCCCTGCTCCTGATCTCCCACCTTTCTAGTCCTGGCTCCCTAGAACAGAGCCAGAAGGCTGCTCCTACCTTCTGGGCTTCCTCATGTTTCTCGAAGTTGACGAAGCCGAAGCCCCGGGAGAAGCCACTGTTGTCCCGCATCACCTTCACACTCAGCATCTTTCCTGGGAAGCACCCAGCTGGTTCAAGAGGGTATCAGGGGAGTCCTTCGGGGCACGCCCCCCTGCACAAGTCCTTGGGAAGCCCCAAGAAGTCCTGCTTTTCCTCCCCTTACTTCCCTCCCCTGCCTCCTTGCCAGAACTGGGAGAAGTGAAGAAATAATGGGCCCCTGCCTGCACTGGGGAACACGCCCACCGAACTGGGAGAAGAGGTCCTGCAGGCCTTGCTCATCCACGTCCACCCGCAGGTTCTTCACGTAGATGTTGGTGAACTCCAGGGCCCGCGCCCCCAGCTCTGCCTCCCGCTCCCGCCGAGACTTGAAGTGGCCAACAAAGCTGTGGATGGATGTACCAATAGGGTGAGTAGCTGCCAGCCACAGGCTACCCCAATCCAACCCTTGCCCACCCACCAACCCTGGGTTATAGGGGTCCCTCCCGCAGGCCTCCGTGTCCCCAGTGAGGAGGCCAGCCTTCTGACCCCCATTTAGCTCACTCCAAGAGGCAAGATGCCTCATGCTGAGCTTGTCCTTGGCGAAAGTGTAAAGCAACTTCATTCCTGGGACAAAGGTATACAATAGCACTATTCTCCAGGTGGCTGTGCACACAGGTGACAAGTCAGAGGGACAAGGGCCATGCAGTTGCCTGTGTGATCTGTGGGAACCTGGGCAAGTTACTTAACTTTTGAGCCTCCACGTTCATTCCTGTATCCTGGGAGCAAGCTCAAGTCAGAAAATTTGCTCATTTACAGGCCTGGGGTGTGCTGGGCAAGTAGAGGTGATCAGATCCGGTCACTACAGGGGTCAGTAAGTGGGTGCGGAGTGCATCACTTCAATGTTTAATCTGAAAACCACTTCCTGAATTCATAAAACACATCCAGGAAAGGTATCCTTGACTGAGCACAGCCCAGGCCAAGGACTTTCGATGGTATCCACAGCACGTTGAGCACCAACAGACCACAGCAGCTGGGTGGCAGGGCTAAGCCCGAGTAAACTGCTCCTAACCTAAGTTCACCATGTCGCAGTCAGACAGGTGGACAGGCCACTGCTGGGCCCCTCCACCGACTGATGCCCAGCACCACTCCTGGCTACAAGGCACCTTCACCCTACAACACTGACCACAGGACTGGGGCTGGGCAGGATAAAAGCAGGGCATGGGAGGGAACAGCAGTTTCTCTTGATGAGATACAGCACCTGCATTTCCATGTTCCCATCTGTGAAGCAGGCATAACACCAGATCTAACCACATGGAAACAGCTGGTTATGTATATGCCTATTCTTTGCTCCCAAATCCCGCAAAAACAGTTTAAAAAAAAAAAAAGTCCAAATTGAAACCATCACACCCATACTGAGAAAGCTGAAAACAGACAAAATTATCAGGTCCAGTTACAATTTGGCCATTCTGGCCAAGAGCCCTTCCGTCTACAATGTCAAAGCCACTGCTGCCTAGAGTTTGACTGTGGTGGCTCAGGTAACAGCAGCCTTCCATAGTGGTGGCGACCCGCTTGCAGAGAATACCTGGGCCAGGTCAGACCCAATGCCTGGGACCCGACTTAAGGGCACCATTGCCACACGGTGACCAAGGCCTGGCTGCTGGGCGACCAGTGTGCCTTAGGTGCCAGGTTCTGCCTGATGGCTGCCCAGAGGCGAGCTCTAGAGTTTTGGGGGTATGTAATTGCTGCCTAGGGACACCCAGGGATAAGGCTAGTGTGAATGTATGTGAGGGATGAATTCTGTGATTCCTAGTGGTGAGGTCACGGAACTTGCTTGCAAGCCTGGGGACTGGGATCTGAGGGTTTGGAGGGGAGAGTCTGTAAGTTCTATTTGGGCCAGACTGATTCACCAACCAACAAGAGAATCCTGAGATGGGCTGTTAGTGTAGAGCATCACTGACTGCAACACACCAATCCACATGAAAGCTATGGGTGAGGGCCTATCTGGTAGGACTAGGTACCTGTACCTGATTGAGCGGCAAAACAGGGGATGGGTCACACTTGGCAGGGTCAGGACACTAACCAATACGTGAGAGAACCATATCCGGGGGTAGATTCTCTGGGGGAAATGTGGACCCAACTCTGTGGAAATACAAGCCTCATTGGTTAGCTCGCAATTTGAGGTGGTAATGGGCTGAGCTAGGTGTGACCATGAAACCCTGCCATCACTTATGGGTAAGGGAACTGACAACAGTCTGGGCAGGTCAAGGCAGCAGCACCCAAATGTGCATCCTAAAACAGGATGTGGGGTGGGCCAAGCTGCAACTGGAAGGGGGCAGACTGGGCAGGGCCCAGCAAACCTTAACTCACAAGGAAGAACAGAAATCAAGATGGAGCACAGGTCATGCTGAGCTAGGCTCTTATGCCAACTGGTCTGCATGAGCCAGGGATACTAGGACACAGTAACAAAGGAAAGACCAGGACAGGTGAGGAGCTATGCCAAGCTGGGTTAGAGCAACCACGGCCATGTGCTCAATCTATGGCTGGAAACAGGCTCGATTGGGGAGCTAAGAAGACACCCTAACTGGGTTGGGATTCCCACTGGTGAATGCAGGGGCTGGAGTGGGGGCTGCGTTTTGGTTTGGACATGGCTACAGTCTCCCTTGGGGCAAGCGTGGACTGGGAGGGAACACCCCAGACCAGCCTAGACTCCAGAACCATCTGGTGCTCTGGAGGACCAGAGTAGATGTAGGATGGACTAGGCTAGGTCTCTGCCCCTACTGAGCTATGTGTGAGCTGTGTCTGGGTATGGACGAGCCTTGGCTGGGCTGAAACATCCAACAGTAAGAACTGGAATGGTTTGAAGGCCAGTCAGGAAAGGCTACTGTTCCTGCTAACAGGAGGTGGAATAAGTAGGGATGGTTCATGGACCCACCGGTATGTGCAAGATCTGGCAATGGAAGAGGTTCTGATGGAGGAACTTGAGAAACTCCTCTGGCAGGACACAGTCGATATAGGTGAGTGCAAGAACCACAATAGGGAGCATCCCAGACCAGGCCAGGGAAAGGTACTCACCAGCATACATTTGGCATAGGTCAGGGGCAGATCAGGCTGAACCAGTTCACATCACCCACTGGTGAATTCGAGCACCAGAGCAGAGTGTAGGTCGGGCCAGGTATGGTTGCAACACATACCAGTGCACATTACGGCTGGGATTGAATGCCTGCTGGGCTGGGCTAGGTTATAATCTTCACCAGCGTCAGCTGGAATTGTTGCAGCCAGGCCGGGCCAGGCTGCAACACCCACTGGCAACTGTCAAGGTGAGGTGGGCCGTACCAGATACGGCTGCAGCGCCCAGCCAACACAGGTGCGAATCAGGAAGGTAGGGGGCAAAGCCAGTAGGGGGAATGTGGAGGGCTCCCCTGCTGGACAGTCACTCCCACTGGAGGGTTGGGATGGGGGCAGACCAAACCAGGTAGGGCTACAACACTGTGGGTCTTATGTGAGCTGGATCAGGGAAAAGCCAGGCTGGGCTGATTGTCCCTACTGGTGCAAGCATAAATTAGACTGGGTGAGGGTTGGTTGGGCTTTGCTGCAGCATCGGTTGGCACAAGCTGGCACTAGGTGCTAATTCTGTCAAGTTAAACAGCAGAACCACCCGGAGAGTGCATAATCCGGGAGTGGGAGTGACCTAGGAGGGAAACAGTGGGTGCTCCCCTCTTGGGTTACTACTCCCACTGGAGAGCATGAAAACCGGGATTGGGGCAGGGGTGGCTAGACAAAACAGCACCCACCAGTATGTGTGTGGGCTGCATAATAGGGCAGGTTGGGTTGCACTAGGCTTCAATGCCCATTGACACGTATGAGGGCTAAATGGGATGTGGGACAAACTGAACAAGTCTGTGGTACATACTAGCAAGCATGGGAACCAGGGGAGGGGGCAGGCCTGGTGGGGATTATGGGGAGTCGCCCTGACTAGGCTGCAGCTCCCACTGGTTTGTGTGAGGGCTGAGTATGAAGTGGGCAGGATGGGGCTGGACTATCACACCCATTGGTTCATGTGGAAGACAGGGCGGTAAACAGAACTGACCCAGCACTTGCAATCACTAGCATATGCACAAGCTGATTGGGGCGACAGACTGTGCTGGACCCTGTATTGACAAGCACACACAAGAATCAGGTTTGGGATCACCTCAGACGAAGTTTCTCAGGGGATCCCTGCAGCTGAACTGCTGAACCCCAACCATGAAGAGACTATGTCAGCTAGGCTCTTACCCCGACTGAAGAGATTTCATTGCGCTTGGAGCAGCGAGATTGGCAGCAATTTAGAACTGTTGAACTATCAAAACTGCACAAACAGGACCCTTGGAGCATGTGCCATGTCAGGGACCTGGGATGGTGGGGCTTTCCCCTTTATCTCTTCCCTTAACCCAGATACAGAAAAAAAAAAATAGCATTAATGTGGAAGCAATGGTCTTGCCCACTTTCCTGTAGCCCTTGACCCCTTGTGCCCTAATCAACTATGTAAAGATTACCAAAATAAAAATTAAAAGATATATATGTGTGTATGCATATATCCTGGGGAAAAAAAAAAAGCCATTGCTGTCTCTCCTACTTGGGACAGTCCTCAAAGCTCTCCGTCGTGACCCAGAGAGACCTCGACAGATGAAGCACCTGATGCCACACTCAGAGCACCAAGGGCTCCTAGTGCCCGTCAGCCAGGGAGGGGACACCCCAGGCATCTGTGGCCCAATGGTCCTACCCCCAGCCCCGCCCACGGCCCTGCTCCCTCCCCAGCCCCCTCAGCCACTCACACTTTGCGGTCATTCAGCAGCATCCCGTTCATGGTGCGGATGGCCTGCTGTGCAGCCTCGTGAGTCTCAAAGTGCACAAAACCGAAGCCCCGAGAGCCGTGCTCATTACACACCACCTGGTCACGGGGAGGAAGGGTGAGGGTAGGGGCAGCCAAGAGAGGGTTTGGCAGGAAAGAATGGCAAAGGTGACAAACGCATAAAGAGATCCTACAGTACATGTGGCCCAATTTTAGAGCCAAGTTCAACCGGCTCAGTGCGTTGGATCAACCCAACATACTGAGGAGAGGGAGGATCCACAAAATGATCTTCACCAATAGATCAGCTTCTTAAACATGTATCCATCCATTTATTTTATGATTATTTAAGATTTATTTATTTTTGTTAAAAAGGCAAACCAGATTTACACAAAGGAGAGAGAAAAATATCTTCCATTCACTGTCACTCCTCAATGGCCACAATGGCCAGAGCTGAGCCAATTTGAAGCCAGGAGCCAGGAGCTTCTTTTGGGTCTCCCATGCGGGTGCTTTGGGCCATTCCCCACTGTTTTTCCCAGCCACAAGCAGGAAGCTGAATGAAAAGTGAAGCAGCTGGGACTTGAACCGGCACCCATATGGGATCCGGTGCATTCAAGGTGAGGATTTAGCCATTGAGCCATTATACAGAGCCCCCATTCATTTTATTTATTTGACAAAGCAACAGAGAAGAGAGCAGGAAAAAACAGATGTAGTAGGCACTGGCTCATCCCTCTAATGACTATGGCTGAAGCCAAGAGCTTGGAACTTCCAGGTCTCCCACGTGGGTGGCAGGAGCTCAAGCACTTGGGCCATTCCCTGTTGCTTTCCCAGATGTATTAGTAGGGAGCTGGATCAGAAGTGAAACAACTGGGACTCCAATCTAGGACGTCAGTGTCATAAGCGGGAATTTAACGTACTGTGGCACAACACTGACGCCCAGGCCAGCTTTTAGTAGCTTTCAAAGGCAATGGGCAAAAGAGTTAGGTTCAAATTCCTGTTCTGTCATCGTTTTCCTGATAGCAAACTGGAAACAACCTACACACCCATCCATCCAGAGGTGGCTGGTTCAACTTGTTCCAGTACAGTTACGGCTCAGTTGAAGAGAATGGGGGAGATGATGCATAATGTGACAGGTGTTCCTGGAAGGTACATTGTTAAGTGTCAAAAATGAAAATCAAGAGGCCAGCGCCATCACGGCTCAACAAGCTAATCCTCTACCCTGGGGCACCGGTATCTCACATGGCTCTGGTTTTTGTTTCAGATGCTCTACTTCTGATCCAGTTCTCTGCTTATGGCCTGGAAAAGCAGCAGAGGGATGGTCCAAATCCTTGGTACTCTGCACCCATATGGGAGACTTGGAAGAAACTCTTGATTCCTGGCTTCAGATTGGCCCAGCTCTGGCTGTTGTGGCTACTTGGAGATCTTTCTCTTCTCTCTATAAATCTGCCTTTCAGATAAAAATAAATTTAAGAAATAAAACTAAAAGCAAACAAACAAAAATGAAAATCAGGCACATTCGTATTAGAGTTGGTGTCTCTACATCAAGTTTTCTTTATTTAGTATTTTATTTACATAAAAGGCAGAGAGCTCCTATGCACTGGTTCATTCCTAAATGCCTAGAACAGTCAGGACTGGGCCAGGTCAAAGCCAAAAGTGAGGAACTTGATCTGGGCCTCTCCAGGACTCAATCAAGTTACCACCTGCTGCTTCCCCAGTGTGTAACAGCAGGAAGCTGCAGTCAAAGCAGAGCCAGTACACGAAGCCAGGCACTTTGTGTGGGTGTCCCAAGCCCTGCCTTCACCACGGCGTCAAATGCCTGCCCCAACTACGGGGTGCATTTTACAACTATGACACTAGACCACTCATGACTGTTTCAAGGGAACCAGGACCAAAGGACAAAACCTATTTTTTCACTTTCTTCCCTTCCACATAGGTTAAACAGTGTCAGTTCACATATTATTTCAACAACAAACTTCTTTAACCTTTTTAAGATGTAAATATCCTACTCCTAATCTATAACTCTCAACTCAAGTAACAAGGACACAGCTTAAAATCATGGAGAGCCCTTCCAGTTCACAGTTTCTATTCCTTGTGTTACACAAAGATCCCCACCCTCACTATAAGTGACCACAACTCCCTGCAGCCACGGTCTCCACTCAGCTAAGTGGCATTTCTGCAGACGAGCACCACAGCCACCAACCCCATGCTAACCTTTGAGGTGCTCTTTCTCAATTCTGACCAGCTCCTTTAATTTAACCTCCGCAGCTGGGCACTCGGCGCTGCCCGTGGGCTTTGTACCACAAATCCTGCTTCCAACTGCCTGTCCTACACTCCTTCCTCACATTCCTCCATTCAGATTTCATCTCATTAACTAGGTCCCCGCTCTAGGCAAGTGCCTGCTAAGGGTGTCACATACTTTAATTTACCAGGGGAACTCTTTAAGGAAACTCTTTAACCTCTGAGCCATAGAGGGACGATGGGAAGGAAGGCCTTGTCCAAGGTCAGCCAGCAAGCAGCAGCAATCTTGCCATTCCCACTCAAACACTTAACAGCTTTGGTGCCAATTGCCTTTTCCAGGGCTACACCTCTTGCTGACCCTACAGTCCTAGAAAGTAAGTTATGCCACTTCTCCCTTGCTCTGGGAACTGAGACCCCAAATCACAAGCCAGAAAGTAGAAGAAACAGGATTTGGGGCCCACGTGGTAGAATATCAGACTAATCTTCCATCTGTGGGCAGAATCTCACTAGGCCTGCAGAGTGGCCTTCTGTCTCAATGGCCCAGAGGCAGACTCTGGTCTGATAAGGGGAAAAGACTTAATGGTTGTTCCCTGTTAACTCTGCTTTGACTATGCTCTAAAGTTTGCTGTAAAGTTTGCAGGCACAATTCCTGGCGTCCAAGTGCCCTTTCCAAGGGGAGGGTCCTCCTTCCATCTCCTCCCAAAGATGAGCCCCAGGCTGCCCCTCTGGTTTTCCAGGCATTTTTCCTGCTTTCCAATATTTTCCCTGCTGCGCCTGTTCCCAAGGATCATCACTTTCCCACTTCCCAAGTTCAAGACTAAATTGGCTAACTTCCTCCTGCCCCTATGCTTCCCTTTGTGCAGCTGCTGGCCTGGCTCAGTCTCCCTATCTCAGTGAGTTCCTGGATGATGAAATTTCCAATATTTATATATCGTCTGGCCCTGCCATGAGCCTGCCACCCCCTTATAATGCATTGTTGGGGACAAGGAATTCCTACTCTGCAGCTCTCTGTTTACAAACACAACTCAGGAACTCTGGTGGAAAATTCTAGTTGGTTGGGTAATATAAGAAGACAGCCCATTTTAAGACTATTTGCTATTGTCACCATAAGAACACGATGGCCCCGGTTGCTGGCCTCCCTGCAGCCACACCCTGGTGCTGTAATTTCTACTGCCCTCTCACTCAGAACATAGAGCTCGTCTTGCAACTTGCTTTGGCCAACACAACACAGTGGAAGAACTGGTGTGCCAGATCTGTGAGCTTCCCATCTGTTCTGTGGGACCCTGCTACTGCTAGGAGGGGTCCTGGGCCAGCCGGCCAGAGGCTGACAGGTCACAAAGGAAAGCACAGATGTTCCAGCTCGCACCCACTCTGTGGGCAGAGGAGGGGGTCCAGCCAAGAGCAGTAAAAGGGCACTAGAGAACTCACTGAAGAACTCTGTGCTGACCAGGCAGCCACTGTCAACAGCTCCTAAGTGCAGGGACGTGCCAGCAAGAGCAAGCAGGTTTTTGGGGAACCCTTGACAGTGCCAACAGGATTGGAGAGAGAACACTTGCCTGAAGCACTGTTCCAGGGACACACAGCCAGCAAAGTGAGGTGCTATTGCTTGCCCCACCCTTACACACAGCCGCACCCACCTTACAGGAGAGGATGTTCCCGAAGGTGGAGAAGGTATCATACAGAGCCTTGTTGTCGATGGAGTCCTCCAGGTTCTTGATGAAGACATTGCCCACGCCCGACTTGCGCAGTCCCGGGTCTCGCTGAGACCACATGATGCGAATGGGCTGGCCTTTGATCACCTCGAAGTTCATGGTATCCAGGGCCCGCTCAGCTGAACGCAGACGAGAGAGAAAGGAGCAAGTTTAGTACTTGTCCCTGCCCTGCGCCTGCAAGGTGCTTCACTGGGAATCAAAATAAGGAAGTCATTGTCAGAACCAGGCTGGGATAAGCCTGAAGCCTGAAGGCCCGAGAGGGATAACTTGAGAGACCACCTTCCAGTTATCACATCATCCAATGCCTCAAGGCAGCCAGGGGAGCACAGACTCCTTGTCCCACTTTACAAATGGGAAAACTGGGGCTCAAAAATGTGAAAGGTGTGGGCGGGCATGATCCAGCAGGCTAAAGTCACTGTGATGCTGGGATCCCACATGAGCACAAGTTGGAATCTTGGCTGCTTCACTTCTACTACAGCTCCCTGCAAAGCACCTGGGAAACCAGCAGAAGATAGCCCAAGTCCCTGGGCCCCTGTCACCCACTTGAAAGAGCCAGATGGAATCCCAGGCTCTCCTGGCTTCCAACTGCCCCAGTCCTGGCCATTCTGCAGGAGTTAACCAGCAAGTGGAAGATCTCTGCATCTCTCTTTGTCTGTCTGTAACTCTGCCTTTCACATCAATCTTGAAAAAGTTAAGGTGCCCAGCGCCTATAAAACTGTACCACATAATACAATGTAAACAACAATAAAAAAAAAAAAGAAAAGAAAAAGTTAAGGTGGAAAACCAGTGGCTGTGCAGGGTCCAGGGTGACCCCTAAAGTGCAGTGGGAGGGAGAGCAACACCCAGGGCAAGCAAGGGCTGCGGCAGACTGAGGCATGAAGCCCAGCAGTCCCGATGCCATGCAACATGGGCTGGGTGGGAGTGGAGTGGAGGGAAGTATCCATTACCCACTCTAGGTGGGGGTGACTATTAAGCGGGGATGATGATAACATTACTGACTCCCCATGCCTACTGAAGACAGGTCCCCCTTGCTTGGACTTGGTCTCCCTTGTACCTGGTTGTTTGTGCTTGGTGCCTGACTCATGCACCCTTCCTCCTGTCTCTGACTGGGTCCATTTCCACCCCCAGGCAACATGCCACACTAGGCTGTGTGCCCTGCTTTCAGCTTCTGTTGGTTTCTGGGGTTCAGGGTGGGGCTGTGAATGAATCCTTGGACTCTCCCTCTTGCCTCAGCATCCGGGCCCAGAGCCTTTCTGGGAATTTGGACAGAAAAGCACAAGGCCTGGGGGACTGCAGGTGGTGGGCCAGACAGGGCAGAACTCCACCTCAGTCCCAGCAAGCTCCCAATTGAAGAGATCTCTCCCATCCCCTTCTTGAACCTGCCTGGGACAGGCTGGTTTTGGGGGTTTGTTTCTAGATTCTTCATACCTGTTTGGGGGCAATGACTGTCACCTTTGTGAAGTTGTTACTTGAGTGTTCCCAGAATTTTGGATGAAACAGAAGATAGGATGGGGCCTGGTGCGATAGTGTAATGGTTAAGGTCCTCGCCTTGAATATGCCGGGATCCCATATGGGTGCCGGTTCTAATCCTGGCAGCTCCACTTCCCATCCAGCTCCCTGCTTGTGGCCTGGGAAAGTAGTTGAAGATGGCCCAAAGCCTTGGGACCTTGCACCCATGTGGGAGACTCGGAAAGAAGTTCCTGCCTCCTGGCTTCGGATCGGCACAGCACTGGCTGTTGCAGCCACTTGGGGAGTGAATCAACAGATGAAAGATCTTCTTCTCTGCCTCTCCTCCTCTCTGTATATCTGACTTTCCAGTAAAAAATAAATAAAACCTTAAAAAAAAAAAAAAGAAAGAAGCAGAAGATGGGATGCCAGTTCTGCCCTATCAGAGGATGAGCTGTGGGCCCATTTCCCAGATGACGGCTAACATCCCAGGATGCTCCTCATCTCCCTGCCCTCAGATGCACACAGCGCTGATCACCAAAAGCACCACTCATCTGGGGCTTGCAGCCCTGGGGGATAGGGCCCGCCTGCTGTAGCCCTCACCTCCCTCCACTCAACAGCTGTGTCCCAGCTCTTCTCTGCCAGGTGCTTCGACTCTCATCCCCATAAACATGCTAGAAAGAGGGTAACACCTCCCCACTCTCTCCACACCCATCCGCATGCACTCTGGGGACCCCCTTCCAGACAGGCAGCAGAGGCCCAGATGGGTTGAGTAACTTGCTTCCCAGCCACACCGCTGCCGGGTTCCTGACCCCGGTCAGCCTGGCCGCAAAACCCTCAGCTGCGTTGTTGCCCTTCTCCACATAGCAGAGGGAAAACTCCAGAAAACCACTCTGTGACCGCAAATTCCCAGCTCAGAGTCGGGCCCATTTCCTTGCTCCAGACCTCTAGGAGGGATGGAGGCAGCGCCGGGGACGCCCGGCTGGGAGGGCTCACCATCAGCAGGCTGCTGAAAGTTGATGTAAGCATAGCCCAGTGAGCGCCGGGTGGCCACGTCGCGGCACACGCGGATGGATAGGATGGGGCCGGCGGGCGAAAAAGTCTCATAGAGCATGGCCTCGGTCACGTCCGGGTGCAGGTCGCCCACGTAGAGCGAGGCGAGCGGGTAGCCCGGGCCGCTGGCGTGCATGGTGGAAGGGAAGCGAGGCGCTGACATCTAACGGTTCCAAGTTCACCCAGGCGGGAGCCTGGCAGAAGGCGGCGCGAAGGCCTCTCCTGAGCGCACGCCGCGCCTTCCCTTTTCCGCCCACGGCACGCAGCCCACCTGGGAGCACTCAGCCATCAGAGGCCGCAGGTGGGGCCAATCTGACCTCACCGCCGGGAACGCCCAGCGGCTCGGAGAGGGCGGGACACCGGCAGACCTAGCTCCGTCTGGGACCCGCTTCCGGAATGGGGACGGCGCGTCTCTCAAGGGATCGAGATGGTGCTTTTCGCGTGGTTCTCACACCCGAAGGATTAGCCCGCGAGTCTCACACGCGGCCTCCGGACAGCAGTCTTTCTCCACACAGCCGTCCCCCCAACGCTCACCCCGGGACCACTGACTCTTGTGACCCAGCGCGTATGGAAACAGAAGGAAGCTAACCGCAGAGCCCTGCCACAGGGGTAGCCCCACACTGAGCGCCACTTTACTGAACCAAGTCCTTGGAGACCAGTCCTTCCCTAGTTAGGAACTAGCTCCTCTGCCCCAGCAGAACAGAGCAGGTATGCTCCTGCTAACCTTGGGTGTGGCTTTGACACAGGGCAGTTAGGACTTAGCCTGGCTGCCCCGCCTCTCACACACACACAAGCGGCACCAATTGCAGTTAATGGGTTTGAAAAGCCCCTCTAAGGCTTGTAGTACAGCACAAGCACCCATCTGCACCCCTTCCGGGGGAGCGAACCAGCAGATGGGAAGCTTGTATCTCTCTGCACTTTCAAATACATAAATATGTGGAATGACAAGCAGTGCCTGTGTCTGAGGTCTTTTGCTTTTTTAAAGGACAGGGTATGGCAGACCGGTTTAGCCACTAGTTGGGATACCTGCATCCCATATCCAGCGCCTGGGTTGAGTCCCAGCTCCATCTCCCACTCCCTATTAATGTATATCATGGAAGGTAGCAGGTGCTCTCAACAATTTGGGAAATTCAGGTTGTGTTCCAGGCTCCCAGCTTCAGCCTGGCCAGGGAAAGCTTTCTGCCTCTCGGGTAAAATAACTAAGCGTCCATACCAAATCTTGGAAGCCATGAAGACAACCTAACATCCTGTTGGTGTATCGTGGAAAGTGTGACCGCGCCAAGTAATGGGTTGCAAGAGGCAGTGTAGCTAGTGGCAATTTCCTTCCCCGATGATTTTAAAAGGAGGGAGTGAGCCAGAATCATTGTGATCAGAAGTTACCTAGTTCTGGTGCTGAAACAAAACGGTGGCGATACACATCAGTTCACAGGCAACCAACTGATAAAATTTTTTATTTCACTTTTGAATTTTTACACTTTTCCTGATTATTCCATGTGAGGTGAAACTAGAACTGTTTAAGAGACAAACACAAATCTAGTACATCAATAATTGGGGAGTTTTCTTTTTTCTTTTTGCTATACTATTTTCACAACCACAGGTGTGCTTGCTAGGCAATATAACCATCACAGAAGCAAACATTAGGCAGAATACTGGTAAGGAAAAAAAAAAATCAAAGCAAGAAAGAGCTACCAGATATACAGACAGGCTTGGTTCCACATTCACTACTGCATTTTCAAGCGCCAAAGTATTAACTGCACATTTTTGTTCAGCTGGAAAGGAGAGAAATTTTTTTTTTTTTTTTGGTTTGTTTTAATCAGTGCATGAGTTTCTTTTCTGATTCCAGCAGATGGACAAACAGAAGGACCTAGAGCTATGTGGAATGTCACAGGTGGATGGGGGGTGCTGTGAGACTGCAGAGCCTGGCTCCTCTGGCCTCCCCAATGCAGCGTCCATGCAACTTCCCTGTACTACCAAGTGGGTCTTTGTTCAAACCTGTCTGAGGACCGAGTCAGAGGTGCAGACAGGAACTACCAAGCGTTATCAGAGCTGGTTGCAATTCGGGGAGAAGTCATGGACACTGAAAAATACTTTGTGGATTCATAGCTTGATATGACTGAGAAATGGAGTCATGCTGGGAATGGAGGAAGACAGGGCTGTGGTGCCGGAAGCTCCTCGGAGCAAGGCTTGGCTCACCATCACCTCTCACCCTCTGCTCATTTGGTATTAAGAAGTGAACAGAAATGAAAAAAAAAATAGAACTCAGAAAGAATGTAAAAGGAAGCAGAAGGACGGAAGTTAAAGAGGGAGAATAGCAAGGTCAGCAGTCAAGAGAGGTAGGGGAAAGAGTGTTTCGATTTCAACATTTAAGTGAGCCCCCAACTGGGAAGACCCCACGGACTGAGGCCTCTTCCAGGGAAAGGCAATCTCTACAGAACAGTATTCCTAATCGTATCATCCAGGGAACAGGTAAGGCCATCCATAGGATACACGGCTTTTTTTTTCTTCTTATTTAGCTAAGTGGTTACAAGGAAAACAGATTCCACCATTTTTCTAAATGACAAATTGGTAACATATTGCTGTAGAAAAATGGGTTTAGTCATAGGAGTACTGGACCCTCTGCAATGTCACAACCCAGTTATTTGCCACAAAGAATTCCAATTCCAGGCTTTGAGTTTCCTCAGAGGATGACACTGTAGATATTTGTGGTCATGAACTTTTGAGACCAAACCAGTCAAGTGTCTATAAACCCTGAACAGGCAGAATTACTGTGAATTACCATCAAATTTGAATGCCAAATGGTGGGTGTCTCCAGCCAGGTTCTGGCATCACAATAAATTTCTACAACTTTCTGTACAACTTTACAATGGAATTGTGTTTGTGATCATTTTGTATCAGATTCAACTCTCCAAAAAGTTATGCATAATTCAGGTCTATTTTTTTTTCTACCAGTAAGAGTTCTGCTAAATTACAAAGCCCCATAATCACAGTGTTCAGTTTTTAAAAATTAAACACACAGTAATCCTGTCAATGTTAATCAAAATCAAAACTTCAGAATGCCGTGGCATTTATGTGACCGATCTGGATTTTAAGATACAAATATCAGTTGTTTATCCCATAGACCATTTCCGCTAGGCTGAGGCTGTGAAAATCGAAGTCGACGTACGATTTCTTCTTTGATCGCACAAGGGGATGTATGTGGGGGGTAGAGTGACACTGAGCAGATCACACAGCACGACACACACTAGTTCTCTCCCTCCCCAGCATCTCCTTCATCTCCCTGATTTTCCGACGTCCACAGCTGCAACAGAGAAACAAAAGCATGATATCATAATTAAAGTAGGGCTACAAGAACATAATCAGGGAGGTAATCTCAGTACGCATAACCTTATCTCACCAAATTATCCAAAATTCTTGCATTATGGCAATGATCACTGCAAGGTCAAAACTTGAACAGCCATTTACAACTAATGCAATAATTTAAAATTGTAACTATATTTAGCAGAGTATAATCCCTCTTGCAGATGACAAGGAAACAGCCTGGACACCCTCCCGAGATGGTACTCACAGTGAGATTGTCCCTGAGCAGCTGCATGATCAGGGTGCTGTCTTTGTATGACTCTTCATTCAGTGTATCCAGCTCGGCAATGGCTTCATCAAATGCCTACAACAAAGAGATGTTAGCAAAGCACTTAAGGGCAATCAGGCTATTACTCCCTTGTTGGCTAGTAGTTTCAGCAAACAAGCCATATGATAAAAGCACCAAATGAACAGACAAATATTTATAGAACTCTGCTGTACCTTTTAAGTAAGCAGTACTGCTGTTGGCCCTAGCACATTTACTCTAGGCAAATTCACAATTCTTTAACTACCAAAGACATCTCTAGTACCTTTATTTATTTGCCTTAATACTCAAAAAGTCTGATTACAAAGATTAAAGGAAGAACAGTGATGGGTTTCATCACTAAATCTAGTTTAAGTGATGGAATTCCAAGAATCCAGTGTGAATACTAAAAGACAACAAACACATAGAAAGAAGAGAGGTGGTAAACCAGGACGTAAATAACATGTGGTCTGGGCCAGCCGGTGGCCTACTGGCTAAAGTCCTCACCTTCAATGTGGTGGGATCCCATATGCTACTGGCTAAAGTCCTCACCTTCAATGTGGTGGGATCCCATATTCAATGTGGTGGGTTCTAATCCTGGCAGCTCCACTTCCCATACAGCGCCCTGCTTGTGGCTTGGGAAAGCAGTGGAGGACAGCCCAAAGCCTTGGGACCCTGCACCCGGGTAGGAGACCTAGGGAGACCTAGGGGAAGTTCCTGCCTCCTGGCTTCGGATCGGCACAGCACTGGCCATTGCACTCATTTGGGAAGTAAATCATTGGACAGAAGATCTTCCTCTCTTTCTCCTTCTCTCTGTATATCTGGCTTTGCAATAAAAATAAATGAATCTTAAAAAAAAATGTGGTCTGACTTTTTTTGGACTCATACAGCCAGACTCCAATCTTCATACAAGGATGATGAATAGTATCCCAGCCAAGGTTTGATGAGAAAATCAAACTATCCTCAACTGGAATTTCCTACAACTCCCTTTCCCTGAGAAATGTAAAAACAATCAAATGGAACAAAACAAACAAAAAGGAAACAAGAGGAAGTACTGAGAAAAAAAAGGAAAAGGAACAAACCCCCATTTCTCTCATAAAATAAATACTCTCACCCCCAGAAAACTTTCCAAGAAGTTCCAGTCTGCTCAGGAACAAAAGGAGGCCAGAGGGACACACAGCAGCTGTGTTAGGGTCTTTCTCACCGTTTTTGCCAAGCTGCAAGCCTTTTCAGGAGAGTTGAGGATCTCATAATAAAAGACTGAGAAGTTGAGCGCCAGCCCAAGTCGAATTGGGTGTGTGGGCTGCATTTCCTTCTTACTAATTTCAAATGCCTCCTGGTAAGCCTGCTGGGAGTTCGACACGGTGGCTATAACAAAGATGAAATAACGTTAAAACTGGAGTTATTTTGTAGGTTGCATTACACATTGAATTTATCTATTCTAGCAAAACTGGCCTCAGCAAATCATCAGTCACTTGTATCTCCACCACTCAATTACACATTGGGCAAGTGTTTATTCCTAAGCCAAGGACTACATTAAATGCTGGGGATGGGGAAGGAGAGAGAGCAAAGGCAATTATGGCAAAATCTACCAAAAACAGCTAGTAAGTCCAAGCATAACCTTTAATAAGATAGAATATGGACAACAATATGCTCTAGTGGGAAGATCCTGGGCTTTAGTCAGCTGATCTAAATTTCAATTCATCACTCTTACTCATCAACTACATGGTCTGGAGCAAGAAAAACCTCTGTGCTGGGCCAGGTGTTCAGCATCGCAGTCACCGTCAGAGGATCTGGGTTTGATTCTCAGCTCCACTCTTAACTTCCCACAAATGCACACTCTGGAGGCAGCAGCAATGACTCAAGAACTCCAGTTTCTACCACACATATGGGAAACCTGGATCGAGTTTTCAGTTCCTACCTTCCACACTGGCCCAGCCCTGGTCATTGAGGGCACTGGGGAGGGGGGAGTGAATCAAGATGTGGAAGCTCTCTTTACCTCTCTAATAACAAACACAAACCTAATCCTCCACAAAAGCTTTGCAAACTTTGGTTTCCTCAAAATTAAAACAAAAACAAAAACAAAACACGGGGGCAGACACCCATCTAAACTCCAAGTTGTATAAATAAGGAGACGTTAGTACACTTGTCACTAGGCATTTCCCTTATTCACAGGAAAATGCATTCAAGACCCTCAGTGGGGCCCGGCGGCGTGATCTAGTGGCTAAAGTCCTCGCCTTGAACACGCTAGGATCCCATATGGGCAGCTCCACTTCCCATCCAGCTCCCTGCTTGTGGCCTGGGAAAGCAGTCGAGGACGGCCCAAAGCCTTGGGACTCTGCACCCGGGTAGGAGACCTGGAAGAAGTTCCTGGATCCTGGCTTCGGATCAGCATAGCATTGGCCATTGCGCTCACTTGGGGAGTAAATCATGGGACGGAAGATCTTCCTCTCTGTCTCTCTTCCTCTCTGTCTATCTGACTTTCCAATAAATAAATAAATGTTTTAAAAAAAAGACCCTCAGTGGATGACTGAACTCTGTATACACACACAATTTTTGCCACACATATACAAATACTGATAACATTTAAAATAATTATAGAAATAATAAGGGAATGATTGTAACATATGAGAAATCTGCGCTTTGTAGCCATCAGTAATAAAGAGTTACCTGAACACAAGCACTGTGACACCACACCATTTTCTGATAACCAAGATGGCTGCCAAGCAACTAACACACAGTGGCCTGTACAGCAACAAAAGGCTGGACCAAGGAAAGATTCATGGGACCCAGAATTTGGTTCCGCGTCTCCAAATTATTTATTTCTGCCATCTTCCACTTAATGTTGCAGACTGGTCAACTGCAGGTCATGGAAACCACAGATAGGCAAGGTAGAGGCAGAACCACACTATCCCCAAGATACAGACTTCTTGGAATGCACCAGATCCCAGACTTCTGGTGAATTCCACACTCCTACCTGTACCTAGGAGACATTCTGAATCTAGTGATATTGTCATCTATGAAGAACACACACAATAAAAATTTGATGAAATCATTATGACGGAAGACCATTTCCACAATCAGTCAAATCTCATTTTTAAAATGTTACTTACTTTGCTTATTATCTCCAGATGCCACCTCAGAAAGATATCTAAAATAATCTCCTTTCATTTTCAAGTAGAACACTTTACTTTCTGGTTGTGTAGCATTGAGAATAAGGTATTTATCCAACAGTTCCTAAAAAAATCATTCACACTTATAAGAATTTAGAATTACTGACAAGATGTTAAAACTGTAGCTGAAATTCAAGATACAAACTATAATTCTAAACAAGCTTTTTTGAATATACATATATGTATAAAAAAAAACGCAAACATTTTTCATTCGAGCTACTGAACACTAGCCCAGGTCCCCCCAGCGGATGCCCGTTTTCTCCTGGGAAACGTCTTGTGGCCATCCGTAAGGGTTCAGCCACACCCTGGGATGCTTACGGAGGCCTTAAAATTGGTGATGCAAAAACTACACTAAAAATATGGAAAGGCTCCCAAAAGAAATCTGAATGAAAAAGGCAGTTTACAAATACTGGAAGAATCCTGTTTTAATGTTAATATACACATATGTGTACATGCACACAAACACATAGGGAAAACCTGGAAGGATTATGCTAATAACAGTTCTCTTTGTCATAGAATTTAAAAAAAAGTTTTGGTTTATATTCTTCTGCCACGCCCCCTTTGATGTAAGCTCGTACTTCCGTTACTAGAGGGAAAAATCCTTTCCATTAAAGGGAAGAAAAAGGTGGTAACAGCAAAACTGAAAAGGTCAGGACCAACCTGGGCAGCTGCTAACTATGTGCCCAACCTTGAACACATCCCCTCATGAGCTGAGCCCTCGGTCTCCCGGGCCATCCCACAGGGGAATCACAAACACAGCCCTCGGGCAGTGTTAAAGGCAAGTGAGCAGGTGGACCTCAAGTGTTTCACGTGTTGCCTGGCAGGGAGTAAGCACTCAAGGAGTAGGTAATACTATTATTGACAACAAATTCCTTTAAACATTTATGCTTACAACAAAAGTAGTTCTGAAGGAGTCCAAGCTTCGTATACAGAGCAATATTTTCGGAGAGTTGTTTTAGAATGTGGCATCCTGAAAAACTGGTTAAGAGGCAGTAAGTACCATGCTCTTCTTCACATTCTTTCAGATGCTCTTAAAAGCTGGTCTACATTTCAGGAATTATGGAACTTTCTTGCCTTTGGATGGCATGCCATACTTCATCTGAATACCAGATGTACCCAACATTCAGGAATTAGTGCACCATTAACAAACCCCCAAATTACCAACAGGCAACAAATTCAGTCCTGAAAATTAAACCGTAAGTCTAGTAAGCAGAGAAGCTGAATGCAAAGTTGTTAGATTTAATCATTCAAAGTGAGAAGACACAAGGGACAGCCATGGTCTGCATATTCCTTGCAGCCAGATGGGGATCAGAAGTGCTACCTAACGCACAACCATCTTGGTTTTCTAAAGAAAGGCATCATGGCCATCAATGTGGAGGCAGCCAGCCAGGGAACAAGCAAATCGACACATGGGAATGGACCCTTTTTCTCTTCAACACACTCCTCCAATCTTTTTTACCTGATTTCACTTGGAAGGAAAAAAAGGTCCCAGGGGCTCAGATTGTGGAGCAAAGACCCCAAGAGCTCATGATTTGCTCCAGCATATGCACCCTTCTAATCCCCACTTGCTGTGGCACAGTACATCAGAAATGGAGTGAAGGCTTGTGTGAGAACACTGGTGACAACAATCTCCCATCTGCTTTTGATTTGTTTCTGGAAGGCACCTTTCAGACAAAAACAGGCTTTTTGACGCTTGAGGGCATGACAGGGGAGGGGCCAAAAGGCAGATCAGAGCTGCCAAGGCAGCTGTCTGGCAACTCATTCCTGCTGAGACGCACACACAGAAGGTCTATCTGGGGCTACAGCCATGCAAAATCCTGTCTAGGTGGCCTCAATTTCTGAATAAAAGATGGTGGAATGCCCACTACATGTTCCCCTTTGACAGGACAGGAAAATACCCCAGAAGTGATGAACTAGCAAAAGGTCTGAAGAATCACGTGGTGTGTGTAAACAGTCACGGCTCTCTACTGCACTCAGAGCTGTCTGCGAGGGCACAAGTGCACGCGAGCAGTGTCCTGTCTGCAGCGGCAGCGCCGGCCCTTACCAGAACATCATTGCAGATGTCCTGCAGCTCCGCCTCGATCTTTTCACGGTACTCTTTGCCCATCTGCTGCTTCTTCTCGTTCCTCTCAGTCTTCTGTTCAATGCTGGAAATGACTCGCCAGGAAGAACGGCGGGCGCCTACCACGTTCTTGTAGGCAACAGAGAGCAGATTTCTCTCTTCATTGGACAGCTCATGCCCTTGTTCTGTAACCGCCTTCATGGCTGCAGCCATATCATCATAGCGCTCGGCCTGCTCGGCCAGTTTGGCTTTCTGTACCAGCTCACTTTTATCCATGGTAATTCCCTACAATAAGAGCAAGAAACAAGCAAGGAGAAAGCAAATGTCAGATTTCAGAGTCTAGGAAATGAATGCGTGAATCTTCTTCTGACCATTTAGCGTCTAGTGCCAAAGGCTACCAACATGCTTTCTTTTTAAAAATTTATTTATTTTTATTACAAAGTCAGATGTACAGAGAGGAGAAGAGACAGAGAGAAAGAACTTCCATCCGATGATTCACTCCCCAAATGAGCGCAATGGCGGGCACTGCGCCGATCTGAAGCCAGGAGCGAGGAACCTCTTCCATGTCTCCCACGTGGGTGCGGGGTCCCAAAGCTTTGAGCCATCCTCGACTGCTTTCCCAGGCCACAGGCAGGGACCTAAATGGAAAGTGGAGCTGCCGGGATTAGAACCGGTGCCTATATGGGATCCTGGCGTGTTCAAGGCGAGGACTGTGACTGCTAGGCCACGCCACTGGGCCCAACATGCTTTTACTACATCTTTTCACCATTGGGGTGAAGTGCAGGTGCGTCCACAACTCTCCCTTCTCTGGAGACAAAGCCATGGAGGTTGGGGGCGAGGGAGACATCCTGAGATAAGGCACAATTCAAGTTTAAGTGTATTATTATTTTTTAAAAATTTATTTCTATTGGAAATACAGATCTACAGAGAGAATAAGAGACAGAGAGATCTTTCATCTACTGGTTCACTCCCCAGATGATCACAACCACCAGAGCTGAGCCAATCTGAAGCCAGGAGCCAGGAGTTTCTTTCAGGTCTCCCACACAGGTACAGGGTCCCAAGGCTTTGGGCCATCATTAACTGCCTCCCCAGGTCCTAAGCATGTAGCTGGGTGGGAAGTGGAGCAGCTGGGACACAAACAGGCGCCATATGAGATCCTGGCATTTAGAAGTGGAGGATTAACCAACTGAGCCGTTGTGCTGGGCCCTAAGACTATTAGATTTCACAGTTTTTAAAAATTTCTTCCACTACCACACTGTTTAGCAACTACTTATTTATCGGTTTATGCTAAATATTGTCCTTTACTTTTCTGGTAATTTTTCTTTCCTTTTTGAAAAAAATCTCAGTGCAACTCTCTGTAATACCAGAAACCCTGTCTTCACACTGTCCTTTTTTGACCAAATCTCTTTTCCCCATACTGTAGGAGAAAAAGGTTTAAATGACCTATTTGACAGTGTCTACCACGCAGTAGGTACCTGAAAAATAGGAGCTACTACTATCGTGCCATCTACTGTCTAATTTGCTCCAAGGACAAACTGTAGAAGAAAGGGTAAAACTAAAGGCAGGCAGAGTTGGCTCTAGCCAGCACTAACTCTGCTTCGCCTTGCATGCACTGGGATTCCACATGGGCGCCACTTCTAATCCCGGCAGCCCCACTTACCATCAAGCTCTCTGCTTGTGGCCTGAAAAAGCAGTCAAGGACGGCCCAAAGCCTCGGGACCCTGCATCCATGTGGCAGACTCAGAAGAAGCTCCTGGTTTCGGAATGGTGAAGCTCTGGCCATTGCAGCCGCTTGGGGAATGAATCATTGGATAGAAGATCTTCCTCTCTGTCTCTCCTCCTCCCTGTATATCTGACTTTCCAATAAAAATAAATCTTTAAAACTAAATAAATAAATTAAAAAATTTTAAAAGCCAACCTATTTTCCAAAATAAAATAGAATTTTTCTGGCTTGAGGCCACTTATTCCATATTTCCTTGGGATCTCCCTAAGAGGTCCTAGTGATTCCATATGATCAAATCCATCTTTTAAACATGTGTTCACTTATATATCTGTTCCAAAAATTTTAATCACAGAGAGGAGAAACAACAGTCAATGAACAAAATTCACAGCTAAAGGTCCTGATGCCTACTGCTTACATAAGTTTTGATTTATGTAACATGGATTTTGAAGCAGCTAGACCAATTTCAACAGGAAATAGGTTACACAATACCCAGCAGTCTGGAGGCAGCAGACAAGGGAGAAATGAAATTGTTACTATTTCTACATCTACAATAAATCTCCTACCCATAATCTTTCTAGACTTCAACTAGCCCCCCTTCATGTCTTTGTTATCAGAGCTATACCAGGTCACTTCCTGCTCAATGTTAAAAATTTCCCACTGTAGCACAGCAGGATCAGATTTCCTCCTGTCAGGCAGAGTTGGCAGCCCATCTTGGACTTGACCATATTATGTGCACTATGCCCAGTAAATCACCCCTCTCTCCAGCACTGCCTTCCCATTCCCTCTGCACACACTCTCCAGAGCATGGCTCCTGTACTAACCCCTCCGCACAGCTTTTTCTAAGCTGTCAGGATGAGTCACGTAATGTGACAGCCACTAGCCACATGTGGCTACCCACCTGCAGTGTGGCTAGGGATGTCCATTAAAACAATAGTTTAGAAATAATGGGTTAAGTAAAAAAGTAAATAAAATTGCACTTTAAAAAATTTATTTATTTTGATTGGAAAGGTAGATTTACAGAAAGAAGGAAACAGATAGATCTTTTAGCCCTTGCTTCAGTCCCCAAATGGCTGCAACGGCCAGAGCTGAACCCATCTGAAGCCAGGAAGCTCTTCCCAAGGCTTTGGGCCATTTTCTGCTGTTTCCCCAGGCCACAATCAGGGAACTGGATGGGAAGTGGGGCTGCTGGGATTAGAACTGGCACCCATGTTGGATCCTGGCGCTTGGTATTGATTTCACTCTTTGAATTGCAGCTGCTCTGCTCCCAATTCAGCTCCCTGTTAGGACACCTGGGAAAGCAGTAGAGGATGGCCAAAGTTCTTGGGTTCCTACACCCATGTGGGATACTAGAAGTCGTTGCTGGCTCCTGCTTTCAACTTAGCTCTCTGGGGCCCTCTACTGGGGACCAGGAATCAAGGTGTGACAACCATGCCAAGAATCTGGACACAGAGGATACAGAAGCAAGATGAACCAACTTGGACATTGTGCGTTATCCTGGGCAACATACACTATACTTTTTGCAGGGCAAGCAGGCAGATGAAAGTTGCTAGTTAACTAAACAATAGTATACAAGCTACTCTAACCATAGGTCACAAGGGATTTGGAAAACAATCACCAAGTCTCGGGCAACAGGCTAAGTAAACATGAGTTACAGGAACCAATACCGGTAAACAAACAGATCTAACTAGAAAAGGAATCTAACAGAACTTTGTATTCAGATACATTTTGGCCACAATCACTAAAAAAAAAGGGGGGGGAGGGGGAAGATGTTGAAGATGCCTCGCGCCTCCTCAGGCATCCTTAGCCAGCAAGGCAGCCTGCAATCTCAAAAGTCTGCTCTCTGCTTTCTCAGTCTGCTGACAATGTCTGAGATCGGGGTCCCCAGGGCATCTGGGGTCCAGGTCAGAGGGCAAATCTCCACACTCAGCCATTGCAGTCATCTGAGGAGTGAACCGGCAGACTGGAGATCTATCATTCGCTCTCTTTATGCCTCTCCATCTCTTTTAATTCTGGGTATGACATGTCCTATGATCCCATGTTCAAACACGCCTGTCACAAGGTACATGGTCTCTTAATGCCACTGCATGGGTACAGATCACAAGAATTAGACCAATTAGTAGTTTCCTATGTGTGTACCCTCAAAAAAAAAAAAAGTACACTTGTTTCACAGTTAATGCTTCAAACTGCAGCAAGCACAAGAACCATGCTCAAACAAGTATGTTCAGCTTTTCAACAATTATTGAAAGAACACAGGCTACCTATCCAGGATGGAGTAGAAAGCCAAGCACAATGTGCCAGAGTAACTACCAGAGCCCGTGAAACACCAGTCTTTCAGTGAAACTCCACCTCAGAGTTGCTGTAAACAGGGGAGGCAAGGAAGAACAGTAACTGCAGAAATCCTTCCTCTAAAATGCACTGTGCAAAGCCAGATTTGAGGCACTATTATTCTTCTCATAACATATACACATTACTGTTTTAGCTACAAAATGTGACTCTGGCATGTAAAAGACACAATATCCAGTGGGAAAAAAAAAGCAAAAGATTCATTTTATACAGGATGTGAATTTTATAATGTTAACATTCCTAGATAAGACTCCACCCCTCAAATGAACTCATGGACACCCATGCCTTTTATTACGTAGTTCCTCACTGAATTTCTAGACTACATGTAGTGATGGCTTGTCCGGAAAAACCCTTCCTTTCAGTCTTTGCGCAATGTAGAGTCTATCTACGTGCTACAGTCCCATCATCAGTTGTGGGACCAACCCAGTAGGGCTGAGAACACAGGCAAGAAGCAATCTTGAGGCACAGTGGGTTAAGCTGCTGCCCATGTCTGCATCCCACTTGAGGGTATGTCTTGTGTCCTAGCTGCTCATTTTGCACCAGCTCTGTTAACGTACCAGGGAGGACAGCAGGAAATCGCCTGAGTGCTTTGGCATCTGCTGCTCATATGTGTGAGACTGGGATGGAGTTCTGGAATCCCTGTTTTGACCTTCCCCAGCCACAATCATTGTAGCCATCTGGGAAGTGAACAAGCAAGATACATGATCTCTAACACTGCCTTTCAAATAAATAAAATCAAAGAAAGAAGAAAGAAGGAAAAAAAGGTAGGCAGGCAGGCAACTTCACTGAGGTCACAGGGTCTAATCCTGCAGTAAGCTAAGTCCCTTATGCTGGGCCTATTTCAGGACGACACAGCCAAGCTTAATAGTTCTCCAGCACACTCATGTTGATGACTGGTGTCAACTGTTTCAAGTTATAAGAGCTGCACTTTAGAGAGTAGGAAGCATTTACTAGTAACAGCTTAGTAAAAGATTGGAAACAATCTGAATGTGCAACAATGAAAAATGATGGAGATATACACGGTGTATATATGCACATGACTGTGTGATCAGGCCAGGTGCCATGGCTCAGTGGTTAAATCCCCATCTTGCATGCGCTGGGATCCCATACAGGAGCTGTTCATATTCCGGCTGCTTCACTTCGCATCCAGCTCCCTGCCTGTGGCCTGGGAAAGCAGCAGAGGATGGCCCAAGGCCTTGGGACCCTGCACCTGCATGGG